CAGAACCAAAACAAGCCTATCAAACCAGTACCTACCTATATTTCTTAAGCACTTTAGCATATCAAACTTTCACACTATAGGTGCAGGTCAGCGTAGAATTGCCTAGTTATGTCGTTCATATATGAAGACAGCTTATTTGAAAGAAAGTAACTGAAAAAATTCGACTTTCACCAGCTAGCTATATGAAAGGTAGCAGACACCGCAAGTCGAAAAATGTTTCAGTGCCTAGTGAAAATTTTTCAGAAACAGGAGATACTTACTCTTGAAAAATTGTAGGTAGTCTGTCTTATCCTTAAAGATTCCCATTTCGTCTATTATCTCCATGTCTTTCTGCCTAAAATTATGTGCAAGAAAGTGCTCAGATAGCTTTCTTTTAAAATAGTGCTAATATTTTCTTTATACATGGCTTAATGTATTTATTGAAGAAATTACTTTTGTCTCTTGAGATGTATAGTATATTGTAGAGTTTTGAGAAATATGTAGATTTTTATATTATCAAATCCATGCTCTATTTACAAATTCTGATGAGAAACTGTTTAGCTAAGTCACTGTTTGTACGAAGTACACCTTCCACATAACACAAACTTATTGAAGAAAGTGGCAAGAGAAGTCAAAATGTTTTTAAAGATTCTGAACTTAATCATCTAACAATATCTTGTAGAATGTTAGGAATAGTTAATTTTTGATTTTTTCGTAAGAATTCAATTCTGCGAATATGCATCATTCCACCTATTTTTATTCACAGTAAGTTAAACAAACAATTTATCACCCCCCCCCCATAACCTTCGTCTATTCAAGGCAAACTATGTATAAGTGCTGAAATTAGACAAAACGTGTCACAGGTAACTAAAAAAGTGCTTTCTTTTCACCTGCATATAACCCACATAATGGAGTTAAGAACCTCGCCTGGTTAACTAGTTCACTAGTTACAAGCCAGTCCGAAGGCTGGGTGAAGGGGGAAGCTTAGGCATATGGCTAGCAACCCTACCACGCAAAACCAATCCAATCGCCAAAGAAACTTCAAAGCATAAACAAAGTATAAAAATGAAAACAAACATATTCATCGCTTTAACAGGAAAGACGAAATGACTCCGGTTGGTGAAAACCTTCGCAAAGCCATTAGGGCCGATATGTCTTCACTCCCTCGATGAAAACGAAAGTAAATGTGGGGACATGGAATGTCCGCACCATGTTTGAAGCTAGCAAGGCTGTCCAGATTGCAAAGGAGATGAGGAGGTATGACAGAGAAGTGCTTGAAATCTGAGAAAGCAGATGGAACGGAAGTGGACTCTACAAACTCCTAACTGGAGAGTTAATTATCTACTCCGATATTATCACCCAGACGACAACAGTGAGCACATTAAGATTTGGGGTGGCTATCATGATGTTTCCCTGCCAAGAGCATCGAAGACTCTCTCTCTCTCATACAGTGGGAACCAATCTCCTCCTGCAGGATCACTATCATGACTGCAAGGTTCAACTCAAAATGAAGCAGAATCACAATCATACAATGCCACGCTACACTACGCACCTACAAATAATGCAAATTAAGAGAAGAAGGAGGAATTCTGCAGACAAATGCAATCAGTACTGGACAAGACCCAACTGCAGTTGGCGACATCAAAATTCATTCTAATGGATGGGGTGACATGAATGCCAAACTGAGGGGAGCGGACAACACAGGAAGAGAACTAACCATGGGTCGAGAAGCACTCGGTGAAATGATGAATGAGAATGGAGGACGTTTTGCAGAATTCTGTGCATTCAACGATTTGGTGATTGGAGTGAGGCAGTGTGTTCGTGCACAAGGGTATCCACGAAGCGAAAAGGATTTCACCGGACACCAGGACACACTACGCTGAAAATCAGATCGACGTTATCTCAATGTGAGGAAAGTGGAGATGCAGCTTACTTGACACAAGGTGAAGAAGGGTAGCAGATGTAGGTTCACACCACTCACTATCTAGAGCAAGGAACCTATTTTCAAGATCAAGTTGAACGCCTTGAAATCAGTTAGTGATAGACCACAGTTCAAGTTCAACACCCGGAAACTGAAGGACGAAACTATAAAGCACATCACGTCAGCCATCAGAACAAGGTGGCAGATATCGAGCAACATTCGTGAAGGAACTTCTGTGAATGAACACTGGAATTCTTTGGAAGCTTTGTGGAAAGCAACCTGCATAACCCTATTAGGAAGGAAGAAAAAACAAGACAAGGAATGGATCTTGATGGGCACATGGAAGCTGATAGAGGAGGGAGAGGAAGATGGTGAGGCAGAAGATAAACCAGTGCAAGAATGCACAACGAGAAGAAGAACTGAATACAATGTATAAAACACTGGACAAAGAAGTGAAGAAGAGTGCATGCAAAGACAAAAGACACTTCTACGATACACTTGCAAGTGAAGCAGAACAGGCTGCAGGTAAGAGAGCCAGAGACCTGACAACACCATATCAAATAACCAGGTTACTATCTGGGAGGGAAGAGATCAACGCAGACGAAACCAATGAAAGATGATGACGGAAATTTAATTATGAAAGAAGAGGAACAAAAGAAACGATGACCTGACCACTTCGAAAAGCTCTCGAATCGACCACCATCTGCACTTCGTTCAGAAATACCACCTGCAGCCCAGTCACAGAACTACCACTTAACACGAGCCCTCCGATGAAAGTAGAAGTCCTGAAAGCCATACAGATACTGAAAACCGGGAATGCAATAGGACCAGATTGAATACTGCCAGAAGCACTAAAAACAGACTCAGAGACAACAGCGCACATGTTTACACCACTACTGCAGAAGGTAAAGGCGGAAGGAAGGAAAGGTAGCTGCCGATTGATTGGAAGAAGGACCACGTTGTCAAACTCCCGAAGAACGAGGGATGACCTAAAGGTTTGTAAGAACTTGCGCGCAATTATGCTGCTATTCATAAGAAGCAAAATATTAAGCCATATCACACTGGAGCGAATAAACAATGTGCTGCCTTAAAAATATGACTAAAACAGGAAACCTGGCTCGATTCAGGAAGTACAAATCATGAACGGACTAACTCGTAACGCTATGCTACGCATCATCATAGAAGAGAGTACACACAGAATGCCAGTCAACTCAACTCAACCTCAACTTCATCGAGTTTCGAGAGGCCTTCGACACCATCCACCGACAAGTAATTTGACAAATGCTTAAAAACTGCGGTCTCAGTGACACAAACCTTCATCAATCTCATTCAACAGCTAGTTGAAAACGCCACATGCCAAGTGATCCACAATGGAAACCTCAGTGACGCCGCTGCAGTGAAGGCAGGAGTAAGGCAAAGTTACCGCCTACTATCACCGATGATCTTCCTGATTGTGGTCGATTGGACTGGACTGGACTGGATTGTGCAGCAAACTGTGAGGAGCGAGAAGGTGGGCATGCGCTGGCTCGACCGGTGAAATAACCCCACAAGAAGATTTGGATTTCGCCGATGATGACTTGTGTCTAATGTCACACAGACTCGAAGATCCACAGGCGAAAACTAACAAGTTGACAGAAGAGATGAGGCAGCGAAAACGGGACTTCAAGTGAGTGTAGAGAAGACACAGGTGATGAAGATACCCAACCAGCAAAAACAGCATCAGCAACAAGCACCAGTCACCATTAACGGGAGAAACCTAAAGGAAGTAGTCCCTTTCACTCACCCTCCTGGGCAGCTTCGTTTCAACTACAGGTGGCAGCGGCATAGACGAGGATGTCAAAGCCAGCCAGGATCGGAAAGACAGCAACACAGGCGTTCACCAACCTGAAACCAGTGTGGAGATCTACTACACTCAGCATGAAGTGTGAGCAAGATCCAGATTTTCAACACCAACGTCAATCAAGTCAGTGCTCCTATGTGATTGTTCAGAGATTTGGCGCGTTACGAAAAGCATTTTCCACGAACTACAGACATACGTTATCAACGGCTGCCACCTACGCTCACTCGATACTGAAGATGAGATCAGAATGCCAGAAAGAATAAGCAAGGAGTAATCCTGTCTCTCTGTCTGTCTGTCTGTCTGGCTGGCTGGCTGGCTGGCTGGCTGGCTGGCTGGCTGGCTGGCTGGCTGGCTGGCTGGCTGGCTGGCTGGCTGGCTGGCTGGCTGGCTGGCTGGCTGGCTGGCTGGCTGGCTGGCTGGCTGGCTGGCTGGCTGGCTGGCTGGCTGGCTGGCTGGCTGGCTGGCTGGCTGGCTGGCTGGCTGGCTGGCTGGCTGGCTGGATGGCAACGAACCAACCAACAACCTATCACCCAACAAATATTCAGAAGAAAGTGGAGATAGACTGGATTGGATTGGGTGTGCACTGGGAAGACCGATTGGGGACATCACGCACCAGGTCAGGCTGTCGAGTGGAACGCAGATGGGAAACGACGAGTTGGGCGTCCTTGGGTGGGGGTGATATGTATGAGATCATGTGAGGAAGAAATTAAACTTTGTGGGCAGTTGTGTAGCCAGGTTCTAAGGAATGCAGATAGGAGTGTGCAATGGAGACTTCTTATTGAAGCCGAATGTGCCACTTGGAACCCAAGGGATAAATAATAAAATAATAATAATGAAATTGAGGATTAGAATAGGTTTTAAGCCCTTTATGGAGTGAACATTTGTAGATTGAGCAATAAATCATAAAGAATGGTAACATCAACGATTTTTTTATTTGAATTTAGAACTTTTTCTAAGCTATGTATCGACACAATCAGTAGGTTTGATCTCGTACAGTTTGAAAAAAACTTCTCTAGCCACAGAAGATATGAGAAGCTGAGTATGCGATTTATAGCGAGTGCAAAAAGCAGTCATTTTTGTGAGTGTCAAGTTAATTTGACCCCCCCAAAGACAGATACATTAACCGTTGTGATCGAAAAGCTTTTGAACCCATTTTATTTCAAAAATATTAACCTTTTAGGCACTTGATTGGCAAATAAGGTTGCCAAACGTATAAATTCACCTAAATATTATCTAATTCACTTATATTTTTATTTGCAGACATCTGTTTACGATAAGAAGAATAGCTTCTGGAAATCGGAGGTATCTACTTCTGATGTAGTGCAGAAACAAGAAGAACAACATTTTTCGCGAAATCCATGTATTCATCCTGGTCAAAATAGCGAGAAACTGGAATTATTTGGTAGAAATTTACTAGATGATAAATGGTCTCATGAGTTACAGCATCCAGCAGTAGAATTAAAAGAAACGGAAGCAAAAACACATGAAAATTTGGAAGTTTTATCATCGTCAAACAGATTAGTAGGCACTTTTAATCACTTATCATCAACTTCCACATATCATTTCCAGCATTATCCTAATCCTAATCATCATCATCATGAATATCCACCAAACTATAATATCCCTGGACAACATTCATATCAACATAATCGACAGCACGCCGTTAACTCATCAGTTCTTTCAGATCCATATGAATCAGCTAACTGTAGGCAACTGAAGGGAATCAGTGACTTAGGAGTCACTTTTTCAGGCTGTTCAGAAATGAATTTACCAGAAAACACATTGCCCTTAAAATTAAATGTATCATCAAGACCCAGTCTTTCATCTTCGTCCTCCGTGGTGTCGTCAGGTTCATCATCTTCGTGTGTTCAAGTCGAATCTCAAGTGGTTAACAGTGAATTCAACAGTAATTGTATTGGTAATAACACCCAAGATTTCGCCTGTGGAAGTAAATGTGAAGACAATTTGGTGGAATATACTAATTGTACTCCATACTTGAATAAATTATTTTCAGCCAAAATCCTTTTCACCAATACAGATCGTTCGCAACATCAAAATCATTTTACTGGTAACGATAAAATAAATTGCATCAGTGATAGAAGTAATGCTATCAGTAGTAATCAACATATGAATTGTTCTACAGAGAGAAAGTCTCATATCCTTCACGCATTGTCTTCAGATCCTCCATGTACTTCAGATACTACCACTGAACAGTGTACTGGTGTCAATGATAAAAATACTCTTATTAACGATAGAAAATATGATCATTTTATAGTGGATTACGAAAAATTTCAACCAAATGATCATAAACTTTTATCTGAAACCAGTACGACACGAAATACTCAAATGGATGTTTGTGATCAGTATACTTTGAAAAGGAAAATCAGTACAGGATTAAAAGAACAGTCATTATCATCATTGTCACCAATGACACCTATATTACCCCGTGAATGTAGCACAATTCATTCACTTGCACAAGTTTTGGATAGTAAAATCAACTCTCCACAGTCTCCAACGAATTGTTCATCAGTAAAAGAGTCTATAAATCCGAACATAACAGTTTCGTTGAATGGTTCACTACTTCATTGTACATCTTCCATCCATCCTTCAACAACGAACGTTTATTCCCATGTTTTGAATTCACCTCATTCAAAACAGTTGTCTTATTCAAGAACGCATCCTAATGAGTTGTCGAACGATCATCATCGGTTCTTTGCTCAAAATAATGCTAATAGTGGTCCTTATTCATTTTCAGCGAAACCACCACAACATTTTTTCCCCAGACATGCTCAGAATCCTAGTCATCCTAACGCATATCAGTCAGTTTACTTACAAAATGGACACTTGAGAAATTTTAGCCAACCCGGTGCCGTTAACAGTGGACATTCAAATCATCAGGGGTAAGGATGAGTTATTTTATTCATTTAAGTTTACGATATGGCTTACTTGGAATATTGTTAATTATCTCTGGAAAATAGTGGCTAATTGATCTCACATTCTCGGTCACACTGTGTTCTCTGAGCTGGGTTGTTTAATCTTGAAGCTTTCACCATCCTTCTAGACGACATCATCAACACTAACTTCACAATGAAGTGAGCTGCCAGTATCTCTCAGTGAGTAATTTAGTGGCTTGCTCTGAGGACGTGGTCTGTGATTAGTTGCTTCTTTCGATTGTTGTGTCATTGATTGTATAGACTTTCCTGTCGGCTGTTTCTCTGTTCCATCTCTGACCTTCCTGTCCTTTATCACTTTTCTCATTGCATGATACATTGAGTCTATGTATATACATCTATAGATTGCTGACTGACTGACTGACTGACCTGAATGCCAAGCTTCTACGAATTCTCTGATATCTTTTGTGTTTCCTCTCTCAGTCCAAAATTTCCACATTGTCGAAATTGGATTCATGTGCATAGTTGTTACTCACGTGCATTGAAATGAGTGACGAAATATCGTGATGTTTGATAGCCAATAGGTGTTCATGTAGGCGAAGGCAAGTTCGAAGAGAACACAATGCAACCAAGAACACCCATCTAAGCCACAAATGATCTCAAATTCAAAGATAAAACTAGATATTCGTTTAATTTGGTAAGCATTCTGAGACAATTGTCAAAGCTCTTAAACCCTCCATAATAGAATAGACTTTCAAAGATGTCACATACCAAATCCAATTTAAAATCATTGTACCGAGAAACATTGGACTGTATTGTGCTTCTGAACTAATTTTCTTTAAGTATACTAGAGAAGTGAAATTCGGTGAAAACAATGTAGTATTCATTTTGGACTGATATAATTCTTCCAATTGTTTTCGAACTGATGTCAGCCCTTGTCGAATACTACCTTGGAATCTATCTGTCCATACAAACCTGAAATCTGAGTGGGAACATCGTGTTATCAATAGATACTACTGCTGAACAACCTAAGTAGATTTGATTTCGCTAGCCGGATCAGTGGCTGAACCACCGGACAGCCGTTTCACCCATTCGGCACCAAATTTATCAGCAGCGTACCTGGACAAATTCAGTTCACAGAGCCGAATTAGTTTACATCACCTGAATCTGGTTAGCTAACTTCCGTGAACCGGTATACCTAAGTAGTTTATAACAACTCATATGGTTCAGTAATAGTATCCTTCGCTAGTTATTGATGCCTATGTCAGAGATCACAGCTTGTGATCTCGGCGAAATAGTTTCCAACGAAAATCTTTTCAGAATCACAGTTTGACCGTTTAGGAACAATTCAGCGCTAGGAAATATCAACCTGAACAGTACTGTTTGTAAATCATTGGCAAATTTATCATCAATATTTTGATAAACTCACTCTTCAGATGTAATGTTTAAATACTATGTGTACGCACATAAAGAGGTCACACAAATTTGATAGGCTATTATTTATTCAATTCAGGTGTTTAGAAACTTAAATTCACTTGCTTATAAATTTACACCGGTAATGCATCATAAAATCAGCAGATTTAGGAAGTTAGTTTGGTTTGAGACAGGAGGTAATATTCGGTAAGACTGACAATTTACTACAATAATTAATGAATAAGGTGTAAATACGAAACTCGAATAAATGCATTAGAAAGTTGAGCAAAAATGCATGAGATCATGAATAAAGAGGTTAAAGTGCTTTGAGTTACTCTAAAACTGAAATAATTGATCATGGAGTTAGTAAATAGCCTCTAAAGAACAGAATATCTTCTGTTGCATACAACTACCTAGTATTACCATTTTCCCTACCACAGGTATGTGTTTCTTAACGACTAAATGAATAACTGGAGCTAGTAATGGTCTCAACTTCCCGCTTTAGTAGTCTCGCTGGACTATTCTACGGTTATAGACAAGAGTTGGGTTTCATAGCATTTTTAATGTAATTAGTTTGACAGTAACTTGAACATAACTGAAACTGACTATTTTGATCTTAAGGGTGAAGTACAGAAAACCTTAAGTTTTACCAACTAAATTGCTTAATAGAAACATTTCCAAGGAGATACACTGTACATTTTTAGTCAGGCTAGTTAATCCTGCCTAAATTAAAGGCTTAGCATCATCTTTCTTGGATGTTAGATATTCAGAAAACGTTGAAAAAGTTCTAGATTTAGATTTATGTACCATAAATTCTTACTCAAAGAAAAGGAATTTGAGGTTGTAAGGTTGCATATACACACCATTCATGAATTTTAACAAATGAGAACATTTAGTTGTATGGCTTTCAGTTGGTTGACTCCGAACATTCCGAGTGAAATATGTGACACTTTAGTGTCAAGTTTAGTGGTGACAATGTATAACTAACTGATAGACTTTAGTTAATTTTCTAGACTTGATGATTAAACTGAAAGTGAATTCATGTGGCCAGTTTGATAACAAACGGAAATAACTAGACTGTCCTCAATTCTTATGACGTTCGACCAAATGAAACTTAGATGCCTGAAGACCTTTGTTTCTCGGTACAAATTTAAAACAACCAACAAACGTACTTAAAGCGTGATTTGTTGAATTCATAAATTTCACTAGGACTGGTCGGTTTTTTACCCTACATATATGATTTTATATACTATTATTCAATTAAAGAATATATACACGCATTATACAGACTAAGAAATTGAATGAGGTGTCTCAACATAGAATGAATAATTTAGTTATGTCAAATTGAATAAGGTAACAAATTGATAATGAAAAATAAAGACCAGTGGTAGATTACATCACTTCGAACACAACAATTAGTAGTCAACTAGATAGCTTCATAAAGGTTCACACTGAGGAAACTTAGGTGTTAGGTGAACAAAAATATTGATCATAATAATGATAACACCTTCAATCGTCACCCAGTATCATTACTAGTCTGTCAAACCACGGCAATCTCAAATAGTCAAATGATGATCAATATAATCCTCACTGTCTCCAATTTAGTTATATTTGGATTTTGATGAGAAGTCTTGATTGGACAGGGAATGTGAGCATGATCAAGCAGTAGTAACGTGTTATCAATTCACATAGTAGTCAAGCAAAATTCCTGGTGACTGAAGTAAAATAAAAATCTGGTCAGCAGTCCGGCCCCTTAGCTTAATTCGTAGGGCACTGAGCTGGAAACTAGGTGGTCGATAATTCGAATCCCGCCATGGTTTAAATTTTTATCTGACATTCAATCACCATTCATTATCAATATTGTTAATGATAACAATGAGAATATAAAAATTGAAAAGATTGAAAATCATGTCTTTTTGAACAAGGTAAATGAACATCAATTAAGAAGCTTGTTAGCAGTATAAAAATAAAGGACGATAAGATAAATAATGATAATGGCGACAGATATGAGTCAGTTGACTGTTAATCAAAAAAGTTCAAGAGATGGTGACAATGCAGAAGAATAAGGGCAGTGAAGAAGTAAATATATTAGGCAGAGGAAGAAATGAGTTTGGAAAACAAGTAACCAATAAAAATAAATAAGTTCCAACTACTTCAGGACCTCCATCACGGTAAATTCAGGGTGACCACCATCTCTTCTTGTACAATTTATTATTATTTATCCCTTGGGTTCCAAATGGCATATTCGGCTTCAATAAGAAGTCTCCATTGCACACTCCTATCTGCATTCCTTAGAACCTGGCTACACAACTGCCCACAAAGTTTAATTTCTTCCTCACATGATCTCATACATATCACCCCCACCCAAGGACGCCCAACTCGTCGTTTCCCATCTGCGTTCCACTCGACAGCCTGACCTGGTGCGTGATGTCCCCAATCGGTCTTCCCAGTGCACACCCAATCCAATCCAGTCTATCTCCACTTTCTTCTGAATATTTGTTGGGTGATAGGTTGTTGGTTGGTTCGTTGCCATCCAGCCAGCCAGCCAGCCAGCCAGCCAGCCAGCCAGCCAGCCAGCCAGCCACCCAGCCAGCCACCCAGCCACCCAGCCAGCCAGCCAGCCAGGAGGCCAGCCAGACAGACAGACAGAGAGACAGAATTACTCCTTGCTTATTCTTTCTGGCATTCTGATCTCATCTTCAGTATCGAGTGAGCGTAGGTGGCAGCCGTTGATAACGTATGTCTGTAGTTCGTGGAAAATGCTTTTCGTAACGCGCCAAATCTCTGAACAATCACATAGAAGCACTGACTTGATTGACGTCGGTGTTGAAAATCTGGATCTTGTTCACACTTCATGCTGAGTGTAGTAGATCTCTACACTGGTTTCAGGTTGGTGAACGCCTGTGTTACTGTCTTTCCGATCCTGGCTGGCTTTGACATCCTCGTCTATGCCGCTGCCACCTGTAGTTGAAACGAAGCTGCCCAGGAGGGTGAGTGAAAGGGACCACTTCCTTTAGGTTTCTCCCGTTAATGGTGATTGGTGCTTGTTGCTGATGCTGTTGTTGCTGGTTGGGTATCTTCATCACCTGTGTCTTCTCTACACTCACTTGAAGTCCCGTTTTCGCTGCCTCATCTCTTCTGTCAACTTGTTAGTTTTCGCCTGTGGATCTTCGAGTCTGTGTGACATTAGACACAAGTCATCGTCGGTGAAATCCAAATCTTCTTGTGGGGTTATTTCACCGGTCGAGCCAGCGCATGCCCACCTTCTCGCTCCTCACGGTTTGCTGCACAATCCAGTCCAGTCCAGTCCAATCGACCACAATCAGGAAGATCATCGGTGATAGTGGGCGGTAACTTTGCCTTACTCCTGCCTTCACTGCAGCGGCGTCACTGAGGTTTCCATTGTGGATCACTTGGCATGTGGCGTTTTCAACTAGCTGTTGAATGAGATTGATGAAGGTTTGTGTCACTGAGACCGCAGTTTTTAAGCATTTGTCAAATTACTTGTCGGTGGATGGTGTCGAAGGCCTCTCGAAACTCGATGAAGTTGAGGTTGAGTTGAGTTGACTGGCATTCTGTGTGTACTCTCTTCTATGATGATGCGTAGCATAGCGTTGCAATTTGATCCTCACATGTATGATGCGTCCTAATATTTTGCTTGGGGCATACAGGAATACGTTTCTTTGCCAGTTTCTACAAACAGTTAGGTCATCCACCGTCCTTTGGGAGTTTGACAAGGTAGCTTTTCTTCCCATCTATCATCAGGTATCTTTCCTTACCTCCAAATCTTCTGCAGTAATGGTGTGAGCATGTGCGCTGTTGTCTCTGAGTCTGTTTTTAGTTCTTATTGAGGACTTCCATCTGGTCCTGTTGCTTTGCCCGGATTTCAGTATTTTTTTTGCGTTTAGGACTTCATTTCAGCTTTTGTTCACTGATAGTTCTCTGGCTGAGCTGCTGGTGATATTTCTGAACGAGTGACAGGTGTTGGTGGTGGTCTATTCAAGAGTTTTTTGAAGTGGTCATCTCATCGTTTCTTTTGTTTCTCCTCTTTGGTAACTAGGTTTGCTTCACTATTATTCATTGGTTTCATCTGCGTTAATCTCTTCCTATGTCTTCCAATAGCTTGCTAAAAAGTAATACAAAAATAACAGAAATGTGTCAACTGGTTTCAAGTTTGTCGGCATCAGTTCTAACAGGCCAATTGGACTTTCTAGTGTGTACGGCTATGAATAACAGCAAATAATTGAAATCGTAACCCATTATTATTCTGCAACCTGGCATGCAGTCTAATCACTGTTGCATGTGAAGAACTGATGATGCTCCCAATAAAAGTTTCAGGAAGCACAGACTTCGTAAAATATTCCCAACAAAACCCTTTGATAAATAAAATTAAAAGACTTTTGAAAACTTCACATACATTGCCAGAACATAAGAACATGTTGACCTTTTAAACACTATACTTATACAGAATCACTCCAGATGATCGGTTTGCTCAGAATAACCTAACGCGGTGACGTAAGCAAAGTCATACTCATAACTAAGTTGTATGACTTGGAGTGACATCCCACTTGGGTATTTTGTCCCACTAAGATACTGACCAGAACAGAAAACACTCTAAGCATTTAGGGTCCTCTTGTCTTTATCCAAATGATTTACACTCAGTAACTTTGTCTAAGACAAAGCTAAATGTCTGGAAAATCTGTTTCCGGATAAAATACACCGTTCTTAATTTCTTAGTTTACTTAAACAGACTGAAGAGTTGTCTGAATGCATACCTTCATCTTCAAATTCTTATTGTTAACGAAAAGAAAAAATATGAAACGTTCACTTTAAATGAACTCATAAATGCGAGATTGAGTACATTTTTAAGGAGTCATCAGAAAATGTAATGTCCATTTTGGAATATCATTCAAGTAAAGTCTTTTTTATTTCTACATGAAACACGAATAAAATTATAAAATATTAAATAGTTTATAAAATATATTTTCAGACTCATTGATGTTACATTTTTTATTTCTAGATTCACCTATGGATTGGATGGTGCTAGAAGAAAGAATGCAACTAGAGAGAGTACTACTACATTAAAAGTTTGGTTACAAGAACATATGAAAAATCCATATCCTACTAAAGGTGAAAAGATAATGCTTGCAATTATCACAAAAATGACACTGACACAAGTGGGTTCAACTTGTTATTCAAAAATATTACTCATTTGATTAGTTCTTGAGGGAATAAGTTAGTCGTCTTTGTCTTTTGATGTCAGTGGAGGAAGCAGTGAAAATAAAAAGAGATCGGACAGAAATCCCATTGTAATTCGATATGCCTTAGCAATGCACTAACTCATCCTGGATGAAATCAATACTAGGGAATTCTGGTCCTTGCCGTTTGGTCACTGGATTGAAATTTATTGATGATTACTGATACTTTGAAAAACGTTTTCTGACTATAATTAGTCCTAACTTTTGTCTGCTGTGAAGTCCTTCCTGATTTTTCAACGCTTCTCTAACTGAAGTGATTTATTGGTGAAAATTCTCTCCTACATCAGGAAATGCTTATTGGACAATAAATTGGAAAATACGGTTACTGTGTTCAGGTTTAGTGTTCGATAGTGCTACTCACCTTTAATCTAAAATGACTGAATTAACAAAGCAACAGTGATCTATGGTCACGCTGGTGCTTGTATTACTTCGTCAGTCATTGGACCAGGAGGTACATCCAAACGACTAGTTTCAGATGATCCAAACCGCGACTTGTGGGATCTACCGCTAGCCAGTATCCACTGCTTATGTGCAACTCAAACACCTGCAGTATCTAGACGTCGGTTTGGAAGCCCACATTGGAGCAGAGATCGATCAATTCGGTGCAGTCAACAATGAAATAATAGAAGTAACATCATTTAAACTATACCCGCTGCAAAAAAGCGGATATCGTGACTCGATGGTCTAAAGAATGACTCTGTAAGGTTTGAAGTGATGACTACCTGGGATTAGCCTTATTGGGGGCAACAAAACTCACTGAAAGGCAGTTACATCGAGCTGGCGAGCCCCAAATAGGAAGAAACGTGAGTCCTAGATTCCATTGCGAGCCATCATCCATTATTATCGATCTGTCGTCTCAATAACATGATTAATCAAAAACCTTTGTAAAGTTAGCTTTCAGTTCAATTTATATTCGAAAACACCCCTCAAATGACAAAGATGTATTGGACCATTGTTTGTCTACATCGCACAGAGACAATAGTTGAGGTTTTAGTTATTTCAGCATCAAGCATAACAAAGTTAGGGTTCTTTATCTGCTGATCCGGTTGTTCAGTTAGTAATCATCACGGACTGAGAGCAGTTGGAGGGCCATTGGAAAAGCTGTTTCCTCTTAGTATAGGATTCCTTAGCAATCCACATCCATGACCTCAGCCCCGGGGGTCGAACCTAGGACCTTAACTTCCCGTGGTGAACGTTTGGTTATTCACATCGGACTTTGCAGTCAGAGACTGGTTCAGATGTGTGTGTTAAAGACAAGTTACCAATTTGGGCTGTCACAATGTTTGTCTTAAAATGTACTTGCTCCTGTGGAGCCAGTTATATAGGTCGCACAAAGCACGTACTTTCCAAACGTATTCCTGAAAGCTACCCTGTAGGGTTGTCGAGGGGAGAATGTCAGTTAATTAGTACCTCAGTTCTTGAACATTTAATCAACTCTGGACATATGGCTGCACCAGAGTCCTCCTTCATAGTCATTTATAAAACCAAAGGGAAAAGGAGTTGAAAAGGAGTAGTTTCGATATTTATGAATAGCCGAAACCCTGGAAATTCACCAATTAACTTTCTGTTTTGTCTGATGAACTATACATCTGAGCTTCATCAGTAGTTAGATTTCATTAGCCGGATCAGAATATTTTAAACACAGAATAACTGGGTGGGTGACAACACAGCTAGACAGTTAAGATTCTATTCAGTTCAGATAAATATCACTTTCGACCTTTAAGTTCTAAAGAAGTTTGGAACCAGTTGATTAAGTTAGTTAAATATCCGACCATTCATGTCGCTATTTCACACACAGATGATGTGAAATTTCTGTCTCTGTAACTGGAATATACACAGGTATACTCAAATATGAGAGTTCTTGACACGTATCATGCAATTTACGTATAATTTGGCAGCTGATCATGGGAATTTGTATTTTCTGTAATTTATAATTTAGGTTTCTACATGGTTTGCTAATGCTAGACGACGTTTGAAAAAGGAGAACAAAATGAGTTGGCCCCCAAAATCAACCGTAAGTATTGAAGAGAAGAGTCTAAATCATCCCAATTCATCATGTGAATCAAGTATAAATTGTACTGCAAGTGGAAAATCTTCACAGCGTATAAATTTAATAGAAAAACTTCATAATAATCAAGGGAATCATGCACCTTCAGACATAGAGGATAACAATGAGGGAAGAATAACTTCTGATAATGATGACGATGATGATGATGAGAATGACGATCAACTAATAGATGAAGATGAAGAAGGTGACATAGATGTGGATAACGATGGCGATATAAGAAACACTATGAATGGCACTTTACTAGAGTATGAAAAATTCGAACCAAACTCTGTAAATTCATCCCATCAGCATACTGTACCTCATTCATCCTTTACACCACACATGCATAAAGATATTTCACTTTACGATGATAATTCAAGGAACTACATAAGTGACTTTGCCAACAGTACAAATTCTGACCTCTTAGAAAATTCTGATAAATATATTCGGTTAAGAGGAGAAAAATCATCCCTTATTCGAGTCAGCCATAATTTAAACCCACATTTCACAAGTACACAAGCATGCTCACAGTTTACAAGTTTTTCAGATAATCACTTTAGTAATGATAACCATATTCCACAATCAAACCAGCACAATACTTCCAATTACTTCAATGCAACACACGAATTACATACAGTCAATGAATATTTTCCTGATAAAACTGAAAGGACTCCTATCGTGACTACAAATGCTTCTATCACCATTGATGAAAGTGAGACACCCTCTACATTTCATCAATCTAAACCACCCTATCTTTCAGAATCCTCTGATTTCGTAGACAAATCTTTTACTTCTAGGAACGGTCATCTTGATATTTCCCTCCACTCTTCAGTTACGCAACATTATCTCCCTAACTCATCTGTTCTATATTCAAAAAGTGTTCATCCAATGCCACTATACAATACCAACAGTTCTGAAAGTAATCTGATGACCCAAAATCCCAGCTTCTTCCGGTCAAACAACAATATAATCCCTGAAAATGCGGGTGTGTTTACATCTTCAACAGACTGTGTTACTTCCTTAAGGACTAGGCCATTCGTTGATAATGTCATGCTGAATACAAACTATCTACAATCAAACTTTTGCTAAGTAAATTCATTTGGTAGTCTATAAAAGAATACATATACTTAAATGAGCATCTGATCAACATTTGTAATTACTTAAAAGACGATAACAATAGGTCAACAAGACAATCATTTTCAAAAGTAAAACCAATAACTAGATAATCCGTTTGATTAAAAAAATGACAAAAGTCTAACTTTATTTTTGACTTTGTCTTGTTTGATATAGTTATTTTAATACTTAGTAATAGGTGGAACAGTAAATTAATTTTTGCATGTAAAAATAAGACTATGTGAATATTAATATAGACATAAATGAATGTTTTCATTATAACCAATGGTTGACTGTGTGGATAAATGCATGAATAGTTGTATAAATATAGTTTAATTTGTATTCGCACAACTGTTAAATATTTCCACTCATATATATATATATATATATATATATATACTTTCATTCTGTTCTACTGTTAATATTTTCAGTCTTATTATTAGCATTATCATTAATATAATTGTAACAATTATTTTAGGTGATCTGTAAACATTGTCGGTTTTAAAGAGAAATGTACTTTTACATGATAACTACCTGTGAACTTTTCACTCAATATAAAGATGAAGACTATTTAAATTGACTTAAGATTTTAACCAATTTTGATTAAAATATTTCTTATAAATGACCCAAACTAGTAGTGTTTGAAGTATTAATTCGACTTTGGAAAGTTTCAAAGGTAAAATCGATCAAATTTATCCAATCCAACATGGACAGACTGGAAAGGTTTGTACAGACGTGTTCTACTACCTAATAATCTGATTTGAAGTTGGATATTAGATTTGTTTATTTGATATAAAGCGCACAGTGATACAGTATTATTTACTTGATTACGTTTCGAGCATAAATTATTGCTCATAATCATATCAATGTAATCACACTTCTTTCGACATCTGATTTTATAGTCCTGTCACCTGATCTCTCTTTGTTTTTTTGTTTTTTGATTGGTAGTAAAGTTTTCCATATCTCTGGTATAGGTGTTGCGTCATTCCTATTACATGTGTTGGGTGTGGATTCGATGAACAAAGATTCAGTAATTAATCTCTCTCTCCACCTAGCTATATTAGACTTAAGTACAGTGGTTTTGTCCCACCCTATTGTGTGGTTGTGTGTTAACGAATGTAATGCAATGTGTTTTTCTAGGTTATTGATCTTATTGGGGTCTGCCGTTCTATGTTTAGCTAAATTCCTATGTTCTGTTAATCTAACTGACCCCGACCGGCTAGTTTGACCTATGTATTTGACTTCACAGTCATTACATGGAATTTGGTAGATTATATATTATTTTGCTTAATTGGTTCTATCGGATCTTTTAGCCGACACAGCTTACCTCTAAGTGAGTTTGTTGGTTTAAATGCCACCCTAATTCCAACCTTGTTGAGAATCCTACGTATGGTTTCTGATGTTCCTTCCTTGTATGGTATCACAATACAGGTGCTGATTTCCTTTCTACTTATGTTGTCACTATTATTTGTATTTTTATTAGTGCAGAATAAAACGAAGGATAGATGGTGGTTTAGATACTACCGTCTACAGAAAACCAACACATTCTAACAGGTATCTAGACTTCAAGTCATCTCATCCAGTGTCAGTTAAAGCGGGTTTAGTCAAATGTCTAAATAACAGAGCTGAGAAACTCACTAGTCATTGTAAGGACTTAAATAAGGAATTGAAACACATAAAAGAAGCGTTAATAACTAATAATTATCCCCATCATTTTATTAAGAAATTCACACGGACGCATAAGAAGCAAAATAATAACACTAATACAAATACAAATAATAGTGACAACATAAGTAGAAAGGAAATCAGCACCTCTATTGTGATACCATACAAGGAAGGAACATCAGAAACCATACGTAGGATTCTCAACAAGGTTGGAATTAGGGTGGCATTTAAACCAACAAACTCACTTAGAGGTAAGCTGTGTCGGCTAAAAGATCCGATAGAACCAATTAAGCAAAATAATATAATCTACCAAATTCCATGTAATGACTGTGAAGTCAAATACATAGGTCAAACTAGCCGGTCGGGGTCAGTTAGATTAACAGAACATAGGAATTTAGCTAAACATAGAACGGCAGACCCCAATAAGATCAATAACCTAGAAAAACACTCAGCCATTGCATTACATTCATTAACACACAACCACACAATAGGATGGGACAAAACCACTGTACTTAAGTCTAATATAGCTAGGTGGAGAGAGAGATTAATTACTGAATCTTTGTTCATCGAATCCACACCCAACACATGTAATAGGAATGACGCAACACCTATACCAGAGATATGGAAAACTTTACTACCAATCAAAAAACAAAAAAACAAAGAGAGATCAGGTGACAGGACTATAAAATCAGATGTCGAAAGAAGTGTGATTACATTGATATGATTATGAGCAATAATTTATGCTCGAAACGTAATCAAGTAAATAATACTGTATCACTGTGCGCTTTATATCAAATAAACAAATCTAATATGGAACTACATTCTACCACAGTGCCCAAGTTTTTCACTTATATTGAAGTTGGATATTTTTCCGCACTTATAAATTTATTGTCTTCATGTCTCAAAAATCAGTATCTGTTGGGTGAAATACAAACTGCAGTCAAGACTGGTAATGAAAACGCAGCTTTGGGTATCGGTTTTACACTTTTCTCATCTAATAATTTCCAGAACTTTGGCTTTTCGGAAAGTCGATGAGTGCGAAACTTCATACTTCAGTATAGAATCTTAATCATCAAATAGATATTTTATTAATGTATATTCGCCGGTTAGATACTCTGATTATACGCAGCTTAGTGATAATACTTGCTCATCCAAACCTTAGTGTTTGGTTGGCATTCTCGACGTACTGTCTAAATGTCGACTGTCTGAATTGGTCGGTCACTACTGAAGTATCTTTGTTTTCTAATGTCACAAGATATTAACCACCTACAATAACTGATATATTTATTTGGTACAGTGGGTCCTAAACTTACTGGTCATCTAAGATGCCTTGGTTAGTGAACAATAAACTGAGATGGAACATGACGCATTCACGTCTATGATAGATAGTATTGTGTTTACCACCGGCTGAGACTGCAAAAGCAGTATTTTTAAAATTGCTGGGGAAAATATGACCTTGAAAGAAGAAAATCTCAGTGGCATTTCGATAGTATTACTGAAAGAAGTTGATTAAGTGACTGACGGTGAATAGGTCATTTTGCCCATCAGTTTTAATCACTGTTACCATTTGTTATCATCTTGTTGTTCACAACTATCTTTTGGAATGACTGCAGATCCTATGAACAGAAAATGTGGAGTATTTTACAAGTATTCTGAAGTGACTGCTTGATATTACATCAGCAAATAGGTATGAAAGACATATTTTCATTTTCCATAAAAAAATCAGTCAAATTACCGTTAGAAACTTAATACACTTAACGTTATAGTTATCGTCATCTTTATTACCAACTAATAAAGACAGTATCACGAACTACTATTGCACTTTATGGTATATTCTAACATAAAGAATGAACTTATGACTTGTATTTCTCAACAAGATCTCCCAATGTTTCAAGGTTTTTAATATGTTCATTCATAAACCGAATAAACTAGGTGAAAACATGAGACTCCTGTCCAAAACGAAATATCCTTCATGCCATTAATTCACTGATAACTATATTCCGTGTACTTTGACTTGTATGGCATATGTAATAGGCTTTGAGAATTCAGTAAACAGTTCTGAATTTAAGTTGGCTTTCATCATGGAGTAATATCAGCTAAAGAACCGTTGGAACCTGAAGGTACTAAACAGCTGTTTGGTCCAAGCATGGGACTCTTTGGCAGTGCGCACCCATGACCCCAACAGGGATCAAACCCAATACCTTCAGGTTCCGTGTAGAACACGTCACCAATAACATACTGGATCGGAGTCTAATGGTCATTTCGCGATACATTACAGTTGGAATTCCATCCCTTTATTTAACTAGTGTCGCAGCGTCCTTTTTCCAGGTCTTCTGAGGAGATATAATCTGTGTGTTTTATGGAGCCTTGTTTGTGACTTCTGAGATCTCATCTTGGATCTTTTTACTTAAGTTAATCGTAAGTTGTAAGATAATGTTTTCATAAGAAGACGGTGAGAATTTTCCAAAAATCAAGAAATACAGATTTGACTAAGCAGCTTATGATTTAACTACTCAATTTTTAATCGATCGAATTAAGAATCCTAAGTTTTAATTCGATTTTATCCAATCTGTTCCCATAAAAGGATCTCCTCGTAAATTTTGCTAGAGTTAGGTGTGAATCAATGAGAAGCGGAATAATTGAGCACACTGTGAAACTGGTCGATCAATTTTCGAGACCACCTCGTATTTTGAAGTTATTTAAAAGGTGGTATGAAACCGGTCAATGTGTGTTCACCTTTTTTATATTGCTGAACATTTAGTACTACCGATAGGAATGCTGGAGTTATGCATACAATATGGAATTGTTCAACCTATACTTTTATTTATTTTAATGTTTAACGTTTCTAAACATCCTCCTTCTAACCCGCATTCTGCTCATTTCCTACAAATTATCAGCAGTTTTTTGTTATTGCATTCACCTTGATAACGATAAATACATCAATCATCCAACATGTAGCTGACTACAACCAAGAAGCTTCCGAATCATTATCTCATATTGTTTACACCGTTAAATCTAGCTCACAGAAGGGTGCATGGATACATCTATTTTGTATCGTAGATGTCTTAGTGATATATAACGATAAACGGGAACTATGCGCGCAGAAATAGTTCGTACAGTCCTTCTGATTATCATGGTCCTAGCCTACCATTTTGACCACAAGATTCATACATCTATCTCTTCCTCATTTTTATTTCAATCTATCTATCTATCATTTTATTTTAGTACACTGAATATTCCCATTTCAACATTTAGAAGACTGATTGATTGAATAATTAGGTCTTCGTCTTGGGCTCTACACTAATATATGGTTTTACAATTTAATCAAAATAATAATCAAGTGCTTACGGTTGGTGAACAGTAACCATAGAGCATTTAAGTGAGTCATAGTGTTTTAGAAATAAAAATGTGAAAAAATCAGTAGAGTTGTTAAAACTGGGAATATGAAACAAGTTATTCTTAGTTAAATGGGGTGGTTTTTGATGACCGTTTGTTCATAAACGATAATTCATTGAGTAATAACGAGAAAACAAATGAATATTGATGGAAATAAGAAGGGAAAGATGTATGCAAAGTAATATTTGAAGTTACATCACGTTGATGGCCATGATAATGAAAGTGGTTGAACACACTTCTTTTAAATATAAAGGTTAGGTTTGTAAAAGTGGATTTCAATCGCCTCTACTATGTGAAGTAAGCGAGTACGTAATCCATATGGTAAATTAATTAGAGTA